GAAAAAAAAACCCATTTCCTTTTGTGGTTAACACACCATGCAGCATTCTGTAACTGGAGGTTGTTAGAGAAACCACAACCCCCGGTTATTTCAGGTGTTGCTTTTCTATTTGTATTTTTCTTTCTTTTTATTTTGTGCTCATTTAATCACATTTTGCAATCAAAAATAAAAGAAAGAAGAATGTTTGCACATAATTTGTCATAACTCAACATGTTTCATCAGTACCTTTAAAAACTGTAAACTGTACTCACTGCTGTGGCTATTCCCCCTCATAAACCATATTAGTCAGAGACTAGAAACTACTAATTTAAAGACCAAATACCTTCTTTATTTCAACTTTCAATTCTCCTTTTACTTACTTTGAGTATTTCAATAGTGTGCAACGTTATACTTTAACTGCATTACATTATGGAAACAAATATTGTTCCTTTTACTCCATTACATTTATCCAGAAGCTGGAGTTAGGGGATATCAAAGTGCCAGTCTTACCTGTGTTCAGTAGGTCTGATGTTGACGAGATGAGAACTGTCTGATAGTGTGTTCATCAGCCAGTCAGGGCATTCTTTAGATCTGCATATAACAGGAAACACATCGCCAGAGAGGAAACATCCCCTTGGTGGAACTCACATCACACGCATGACACTCAAGTTTTTTTTGCAAGGCATCACAAATGGGGGTGTGTTTATCCTAATAATGTCTTGTATTTTATAAGATCATCATGTGTTTTTAATGTAAAAGCTTACTCTGCATTGGAAGATAAAATAAGATAATCCTTTACTGATCTCCAGAGAGGAAAATAATGTGTTCACAGAAATCAGTTACATCCAAAACATTAAAAATATATAAAATAATGAGAGGTTAATAAAACTAAAATAAGAATAGAAATGGTTCGAGGTGAAGTGACAATGGTGGTTAATGGCAGCAACAATCAAAACCATGTAAGAAATTTAGACTTCTGTAAATACAGCAGCAGGGCTTCAGACTGAGACCACTTTTGGATTCAGTGCAGGTATATTTTACAACTACTCGCTTGTTTGTGACCCACACAGCTGAAGGCATTTTTTCTTTTTTTCATTGTTGTCAAAGAAAGAGTGAGTCAGCCAGTGTGGTTCAATGTGTGTGAGTGTAGGATTGGGGAAGTTTTGGTGTGGGCGTCCAGTAAGGGAAACCAGACCACAAACTCAAGCAGCAGGGTGATGGGGTGATAACAGGTTGTTGTCAAATCTACACACCCTTGTAGACTGCAGTTCTGCGGTTAGTGATGTTTGACACATGCATGAAGTATATATCATATAAGTTAGATAACGAGATATAAATCATGTTTAGCCTTTTTGTGACTGAACAAAAATGTATTAATGCGTCTCTATATAACAGGCTATATGTGTTCAAAAACAGAAATGTTTGTAAATATGGACTATACGTCAATAAATTGGGTACTTACTGACATACATTACAACCATTAAAATATTGTCGGACTCATATGTCAGTTTGTTCTCAGTCTCCAATTGTTTTAATTATGATAGAACCCAGGGCCCTCTGCAGCGGGAGGAACCCAGGGCCCTCTGCAGCGGGAGGAACCCAGGGCCCTCTGCACCAGCGTAAGGTCTCACATTCACTCTGAGGATTTCATCCCGGTACCTAACAGCAGTCAGGGTACTGTTGGCTATGACACGAAGGTCTGTTGTCTGCTGTGGCTATTCCCCCTCATAAACCACATTAGTCAAAGACTAGAAACTACTAATTTAAAGACCAAATACCTTCTCTTTCCTTCCTTCCTTTTCTTCTCTAACCTTTCAGTTCTCCTTTTACTTACTTTGAGTAACTCAGTAGTTTGCAACTTTATACTTTAGATGCCTCCTGCTGCTGCTGCCATCATTAGTCATTAGTCATACTTCTACTGTTATTATACACATATGATTATTGTCACACATGTATACTGCCAGATATTAATATATACTTTCAACATATTGTACCACAGTAGCCAGAACTAAAATTATAATATTATTACTTTCATTAATGTTGTTGTAAGCTACTGTCATTACCATCTGTCCTGCATCTCTCTCTCTCTCTCTCTCTCATTGTGTCATACAGTTTACTGTTAATTTATTATGCTGATCTGTTCTGTACGACATCTATTGCACGTCTGTCCGTCCTGGAAGAGGGATCCCTCCTCAGTTGCTCTTCCTGAGGTTTCTACCGTTGTTTTCCCAATTAAAGGGTTTTTGGGGAGTTTTTCCTTATCCGCTGTGAGGGTCCTGAGGACAGAGGGATGTCGTATGCTGTAAAGCCCTGTGAGGCAAATTGTGATTTGTGATATTGGGCTTTATAAATAACATTGATTGAACTCCACTACATTATGGAAACAAATATTGTGCTTTTTACTCCATTACATTTATCCAGAAGCTGGAGTTAGAGGATATCAAAGTGCCAGTCTTACCTGTGTTCAGTAGGTCTGAAGTCACCAGAGGAAACATCCCCTTTGGTGGAACTCACATCAGACACATGACAAGGTGCACACTCAGTTTGGTGACGTGGTGAAGAGAGGGAGCGACAGTGGTGGTTAATGGCAGCAACAATCAAAGCCATGTGTGGGTGCTTGTTCACTGAAAACCAGACCACAAACACTCATCAGTGCACGTGTTCGAGCAGTAGAAAGAGGTGACAACAAGTTGCTGTCAAGTCTTCAGACTTAGTGATGTTTGACACATGCATGAAGTATATGTCATATAAGTTGATGAACAGTGCTGAACTCATCTGTTCCTGCAGATAACAAGATATAAATCACGTTTAGCCTTTTCGTGACTGAACAAAAATGTATTAATGCGTCTCTACATAACAGGGTCCTCTGCACCGGGAGGAACCCGGGGATCTCTGCACCAGGAGGAACCCAGGGCCCCCTGGGTTCCTCCTGTCCAAGGTCTGACAGTCACTCTGAGGATTTCATCCTGGTACCTAACAACAGTCAGGGTACCGTTGGCTATGACATGAAGGTCTGTGCGACCCTGTGATATGCCTCCCCAGACCATCACTGACCCACCACCAAACCGGTCATGCTGGATGATGTCACAGGCAGCATAACGTTCACCACGGCATCTCCAGACTCTTTCACGCCTGTCACATGTGCTCAGTGTGAACCGGCTCTCATCTGTGAAGAGAACATGGTGACCAGGGCGGACCTGCGACTGGGCTGTGAGCACAGGTCCACTAAAGGACATCAGGCCCTCATGGAGTCTGTTTCTGACAGTGTGGTCAGAAACATGCACACCAGTAGCCTGCTGGAGGTCATTTTGTAGCGTAAGGTCTGACTATCTCTTTCCACACACATTTATTCTCGAGCCTCCTCCTTAGCACAAGTCATAGAGTATGAAGGTCTTTGTGTGATGACAGCCTCAGGTCAAGTGTTTTTTGGAAGGTGTACTTAAATATTTCTTAGGTAAAAGTAGCAAGACTACAGTGATAGAAAACCACTGGTCCTATCATTGACAATGTGATGGGGCAGGTCTGCAGAATTTGTTTACCCTCGTGGTTAACCTATTCAGCATTCTGTCATCAGAGGTTGTTAGAGAAACCACATCCTTCCTGGAATGTGTGTTGTTATGGCAGGTGTTGCTTTGCCTTTTGCATTTTTTCTCTTATTATGCTGTGCTAATTTGATGACTTTTTGGAATCAAACATAATTTCACTATCTGAAAAAAAAGAAAGTTTGCACAAAATAACTCAACACATGTTTCATCAGTACCTTAATTTTAAAAACTGTACTTACTGCACAGTAGCTTATTGCCTTGATAAAGCATTCTGTCTCGAAACTTCTCAGTGTCAGTAACAGCGGTAGGAAGTAAAAATACCTTCTGTACCTACCACGTTTGGTCATAGACTTTCCACGACCACATACGCGACCGCATACAAAGTACAAGGTACCGTTGTTGACGTTCTGGGACACCCTGTCAAGTTCTGCCTGTTACATGCATTGTCTTCTTTCAAAATACACTTCTGTTTTCACAGGAAATTTCACGTTAACATACAGTCTCTATCAAAATAAACACACTATGTCAGTACAGCACTGCAAATTGATGTTTTTTTTCCTTCAACAACAAAAACACGTGGTTAGGTTTAGTAAAAAAACCAACAGGGTTTGGCTTTAGAATCTTACGGGACATGAATACCGCTCTCTCAGGTGAAAGTCGGTGTTTCCACCACCGCTCCTGCCCACCCCCATTGGACTTTTGCCACCTTAACGATCGTCTTCATCCTGCTGCATTTCCCCTGATACCGCCAGGTGCCACTAAACTACAATGGCAACCGGCTGTGCATCATGTCAACGTTAAAGAACGCCTTTTTTTGTTGGTTTCTGACAATGCAAATCACTGCCCAAGTGATTCAACGACTTCAGAGTAAGACCGGGCTCTCCATTCATCTTATCAAGAGCCCAGAACGAGCTCATCAAAAGTCCACTCCTCTTCACATCCATATCCTCAGCTCCCTCTTCATCTCATCTCACCACCACCAGCATCTAGACTCCATTGGTGGGGTTCCCTAATTTACTGTGTCTTTACCACCACCCTGGAATATATGACATCACGATGAGGTCATACTTTTGTGCATGTGCAAACAAAAATGTTCTTTTTCTCAGGACGAGTCTCACCTGACTGAAATAGCGTCGTCTCAGTTGGGCAGGGCATTGGTTCTGTGTGTAACAGTGTGTGTGTGTGTGTGTGCAGTAGTATCGGATGTAGAGGGGTGTTTGTGCACGGGCAGCCGTGCATAAAGAGCTCCGCTAATGCAGAGGGGAGGCGAGACGTCATGGATCAGGAGTGAAAACACATACAGACACACACACTGCAGTCAGAAGTCAGCAGAACAGGCGACACAGCAGTTGTACCTTTACTGTTCGTCGGCAGATTAACCAGTGCTGTCTGTAGTACCTTGGCGGTAAAAGGTGGAGTCGTAGTGGTTGTGCAGTAACAGTAATGTTAGCAGGAAGAGAACTCAGTGATTCCTACATGACTCTATCAGAGGTAAGACAATGTCCTTTTACTTTCACTAAGCTTCAGGGAGAATTCGATGACTTTATTAGAGAACAGTCGAGAAATCATGAACACGAAGAGAGAGATGAGTCATTACATGCAATCGTTCCTCTTATTTGTTAAACTAGTGTGGCACTCCTTCAAAAGGTGATCGCATGGTCTTCAGTATTGTTGCCTGCGGCTTTCTTTAGAACAGCTCATCCAATCATCTTCACACTCGACACTGCGCTTCCTTGGATCCTGAGCAACAGGCGACACCTGCCGTGACATAGTTGTGTCTTGGCAATACCAGAGTGAACACGTCGTTTTCAAACAGCTACTTGTGACCAGGCTATTTCATTTTTAAAGTTGCACCACTCATGCTTGAACATGGATGTAATATTAGGTGTGGACTGGACTCTAATGTACAATGAGAACTGCTCGCCTCGTCCATGCGCCAAAAAAGTTTCTAGCTTCTGGCTTTACCTCTGTGATATGCGGCCCGCTGAGTATGCACAGGAGTGTTTCTCCTGCTGGTCCCACTGCGAGTTCCCACTCAGCTCATAGACCTTACATCGTGACGACTTCACAGATTTTTAACTCATTTGTCTCGCCTCAAGGAAAGTCTTTCTTTAACTGCTTATGTCTCGTAAGGGTCGAGGGGAGCTGGAGCCTATCTCAGCTGATATTAGGCGAAAGGCTGGGTACACCCTGGACAGATCGGCAGACTATCATGGGGCTGACACTTCTGACAGATCACGCTGCAGGACCACTACGAAGTCCCTTCTTTACACCGCCTTTGTAGATTTTTCACAGTGGCTAGAATCCTGCCACTCCAGTGTGTGATGTTAGACAGCATTCAGGCATCATGGAATCACAAGAGGCGTGACAGGCGTGATATGTAACACAGCAGTAGCCCTTTTTAGACAGGAGTTGTGCAAATTTGCAGGAAAGCCCAATCAGTCTTTTTTCAGCATTGGCAGTATAAAAACAAAATCGGGGAGTGCAGCAAAATGCCGCCTGCCTACTTTTGTTTATACAGAATGCGCCTTTTTCGGGGCAATGGGGG